CTATTCTTATATCTCTATGGGATATTTCTACCGTGTCCACAAATATATATCTGCACTGAGCGCACACGCACACGTACGTATATGCTGTCTCTTTTCAATAGTCTCAAATGCCATCTATCGATGCAAAAGCAACGGCACGTACGGCGACGACGACGACGACGTTTCTTGGTAAGGGCCTAAGCAGAATGGCTGTCTTATAACCTTAAGGCAATGCGTATAAATACGCGATGTATACGTGCGTAAAAATACGCGACGTATACTACACAAGACAGGAAACATTAACGCAGTATTGTGCGTTACATAAGACAAAGACTTAAGGCATAAAACACTGCCTTAAGGTTATAAGACAGCCATTCTGCTTAGGTCCTAAGGGGTGCATTCGGGGAGCACGCTATTAGCACAATTATCGTCCAAAACTGTTCGAGGAGACGCTTTGTGGCGCTGTGATAGTCGATGATGACGTCACTGTAAAGGCAGCGTGACGTCATCACTCGCGCTATTTTCGCTATTATTTTCGAGGTGAGGCACGAAATACTATTGGCGCTTAAGCTGCGTTCGGGGAGCTTGCTATCGCTGTCGCGCCATTGGCTCTTCGAACGAAGTTCATAGCGTTTGCGTTTATAGCGTTAATAGCGTCTCCCCGAATGCACCCAAGGGCACACAAACATTATCGTAGCGTCTTACGCCTTACGTGAGAATCTTGCGTTACGTGACATACAAGCCAATCTTACGGCAACGCACAAAGAAAAGCGTAACGTACATAATAATATGACTACATTTTGAATGCATAGAGTAACTATTGGGAGATAAAAAAACTATTAAATCATATTAAATTGATCAAGATTACGTTTGGATCTTACATAAAGTCAAATTATAGCAATATGAACGGAATTCGATGTAGCAAAAAAATATGTTTAAAACATATTTTTTTTTTAACAGAAAATTAATTAACTGAACATTGGTGATAATAAATAGAGACTTATATTACAATAATTTAAACGGTAGGGGAGACCGAGGCTAACTCGACACTATTTTTTCAAAAGCAATTTTTAATATTTAATTAAAATTTTTAGGCAAATTCAATGGTATATATTTAGAGTGTTCCTTCAGGTACAAAATTGATTCAGAAAGTTTTGCTGTACGTCGCTTTGTTTTGCCGTCAGGAAAGGAAAAATGACGCAAAGACAAATTTTTGAATTGAAAAATTCCGGAGTAAACTCGACACCCCGCCGCGCCGGGGCAAACTCAACACTTTGTCTGATCGACACAATTTGATCTGGAACTTATTTTTTACTGTCTGAAAATAAAAATACATTGTTTATTGTGTATTTAAAAAGTACAAAAATTCGGAATAAAGTAGCTAGAACATCATTTGAAATAATGAGAACAAAAATTGTTGAACTTTCAATTATCTTCATCTAAACTCATGTCTGAAAAACAATTAATGCAGGTAAACTCGCGATCGGACGTGCGCATACATTTGTCATATATACATGAGCCATACGGGTGCATGACAAGCATCGTTTTGTTACTGGAAGCCGACGAAACGGCATGGTGTTGACTTTACCCCGGACGTCGTTTTTCACTTTTGTCACTTCAAAAACATGAAAATTTTGAAAATATCCAAAAACGATTATCGGATTCATGTAGAGCATCAAATTTTCTATGAAAATCATTTACATATAGGTTTGCAAGAGTAAAGCTCGATAAAAGAGTAGAAATTTTCGAGAGATCAGAAAAATTACTTTTTACCATCAAAAACGCTTATGTCGCGCTAAAAATTACACCATAACTCAGAATGTCATCAAATCCCGTTGATAATACTGGCACATCAAGACGCATTTACAGTAGGAAAGGCAAGTTTCTACAATAGATTTAAATTAGCAAAAAGTCTAGTGTCAAGTTTGCCCCAATGTCGAGTTAGCCCCGGTCTCCCCTAATGTTAATTTCAATCTTATCAAAGAATATATCTTTAAAATATTTTCAATAAGTTTATGGAAGTCTATATACATAAAAAAAAAGTAAAGACTGCCTCTTTATTAATTAAACCAAACCAGTCAGATTAAGTTTTCACTCCAAGTAAATCAAATATTTAATCTGATATTGTATAGGTATAACAAATTTTATAAAGGTACTAGTCAATTGCAAAATTGTAGTTAAGAAGGCAATTTTAAAACACACCTGCTAATATATGTATAGCAAAAGACAGAAAAGTAATCTTGCCAAGTTTAAAAACATTGATATTAGATCATTATAATTTTCAAAGATCGAAATAACGATTATATACGGTACTCGATAAGAGACTGGTTTGTTAATCATCTTGCAATAAAGACGCATAATGTCGGCATCCTTGCGGAGTTCGCGCAACGGAAGTCGGAGCCGAGGGAACGTGCAATTAAAATTGATTACAACCGTTTTCCTAACGGCGCGCGATGAGATTATGGTAAAAAGGACGTAACGCGATCTTCTCGTTGAGAGAAAACAGGCGCTTGTTTGTCAGTCGTAAAATCGTAGTTTAAATATGAAGATACACAACGCCGATAAGCGATATCACGCTGTTTAAATCGGCACGTGACGTCACTATAAGTGATTGTGAGTATTGTGGCGCAAGAAAGGTTCGCGGAAATCTTTTTCATGTCAATCGTGAATGCAACCAAATGATATAGGGTGCGATCCAGTAGACTCTTTAAACGCTTCAGAGCATCATTTTGTTCTTGTTTAACATTTGATAAACAACAAGGATAAAATGTTTCCAAGAGCGTTTGGAGCGCCAAGTGGATCGCACCCAATTTCTATCAGATAACTTAACTATCAAATAATATAGTGTGTCAATATCTTAATATGATGTATAATATTATAAAAATAGTGATGTTTAATTACTTTGCATCATTTTTAATCTTTTCTTATCTGTTCCTTTACTTTCTCTTCCCCTCCTCTCTCTCTCTCTCTCTCTCTCTCTCTCTCTCTCACTCTCACTCTCTCATTATTTTAAAAATTTGTAAATTAAAGCGTACACTGAGAGAAAAGTATTTGGTATTTACGACTATAATTGCATAGTAAAATAATTATGGTTGAGGTTCTTATTTTTATAGTTATATTATTGCTATAATATTAATAAAAATAATCTTATATGTATAGATTTTTCGATTATAATCATTTTCATCATATTTATAGTGCGACTTACTGTGCATAAATCACAGGTCTAGTGTATAAAACCATGTTATGGTTGAATGAATGCATGTTAAAGCTATGACAATAATGTAGCTATAATTCACATTGTTAAAATAACTATAAAAATGTAGTTGGCACCAAAAATAACTATAAATTATAGTGAAATTGTAGTAACTGCAACTATTTTTTTTCTCTTAGTATATCATAAATTGGGTGTATCATAAATTTGCAATATTTTTCAAAATATGTTTCTAAATATTGTTCTTGCGATAAAATGTAATGATATAAAGTTGCTTACTATTGCACTCTGCAAAACGTAGAAAACATTAAAAGTGGAAAATATTGTGAATATTTATTATAAGTCATCAATGTAAATAAAATCCTTATGAAAACATTACTCAAAGTTTGAAGATAGGTAGCGTATATTAAAGAATGCGCGTGTATATATGTATATTGTATAGATACGTGTATATGTATATGTATTTAAGAATTCACAGAATTGCTGCAAAAAAGATCGTTCGAAAGGTCGAACCGTATAATCATCGAATGACGAGGTAAATATCGGAACATCGGACGCAATACATAAACATAATCACAAAATGTACGACATAATCGTTTATACATATATACAAATCGGCATTGTAATATTAAATACAAATATTCGTAATATACTTGCGAAAGAAAGCAGTATAATTGTAATAAACAAATTTTAGACTCTACTATAATCTATGAACATTAACGTATTATATGATCGATCAAATTCTAATCCAAAAATTGCCAAGGTGATCAAATCGAAATGATTGATAACACTTTTGTAGACTATTTATGATGGAATAAATTGGGACAAGTTTTCTGATGTCGATCTGCGATACGTAGATATCTAAAAATTCCTATCAGTTTACACAATTGTATTAATTCTTATCTAGCTCGAATGCTTCTGTACTCTTCATATCTCTTCACATTATCCTAAATCTATTATTTATACAAATTGTGTAAAATAAATATAAAATAAGTACATAATTATTTTCGTAATACAATAATATTATATTATAAAAGTAATTATATTTATATTTTAAATATTATTTAAATATTATTACGAAAGTAATGCATTATTTATTACTAAAATAATATTGCGTAAAACTAATTAGACATAATTTTTTTTCAATATACGATTATGAGACAAATATCTTAATATGACAATTTTAATAATACATCCTGCAAAAGATGTAAATAATAGATATGCAATCATTTTTAAATATCTTCGGAATATACCAAAGGATAAAACTGCTCGTTACTTTTAATGAGAAATCAATAATAAAATATTAAAAAATCGAAAAAAATATAATAATTTGAATAACGTTAATTTTATAATATACTGCTCAAACAATTCGCAAGTTTCATTTGTTGCTATTATTGACACGGCAATTAGTTTGAATAAAGTATAAACTATGCTAAAGTGTTTATTTTACGTATAGGATCACAATATGTCTCCTTCGTAAATACATGCTTACGTCTCGAGATGTTTCAAACATTTCATGCGAAACGTAATCACATTCCCAATAATTCCTGCGTAATTTTCTTATCCAACGTAACATTATAGAAACGATGTTTGCCGTAATCAACTGCAAAAAATTAGCTATGTATGGATTTTATATCAGAAAATAATATTTATCTTCGTAACTACAAGGAAGTATCACATTTCTTTATATAGTATAATATTCAATGCAGTACACCATTATTGTTTCCAGTATAGTGCATTGAATTCTCCTTGATGATAGCAAGATTTTTAAAACGTGTGTTCCCTTAAACAAAATTCTATATAATCTTACCTTAAAATCAAAATCGTATTGCTGTCATATCAAGTAGATGACTCCAAAATATTGGACTTGATCACCATCATAAATTCCACAGTTCACATCACTCGTTGCTCCGGTAATAAACGCGATTGCAACGAATAGTTTTTAAATGGCCACGCGCATTTCCGGCGATACAGAAAAATCTCACGGGAACAACCGTGCTAAATAGTCCTCACCGTTTTATCTCTCTGTTGATTACGCAACGATTACACGACACGATAACACGCGGCGCCGTACGATGGTCCGCGATTGTGATATTGCGGATCACGCGGATTATCGCAAAAACGAGAAATGCGGTGTAGTTATTGCGTTCCTGCGCGATAAATCAACAAATTCACTAAAAACCACGACTAACTGCGCGAACTGTCGTTTCGCGACTGACCGACACCGACAGACAGAACAGACAGGTAACGGCTTTCGCGCCGGAACACTTCGGCAATTTTCGCCTCGCTCGTTACTCGCCATCGCCGATCAGTCGCTCCAACTTCTCATTGCGTCTTCGGTCACCTTCGCTACCGTTCGGCCGCACTCGGGTGTGAGCGACGGAAAACATATGGACGACAAATCAGCTGCTCGACTCAATTTCAGTTGGTCGCCGGATTTGATGTATGTACATATACGTTACGTAGTAAAAATATACAGAGTGTTTCCTAAGTAAGTACAAAAAATTGAAGGAGATGTTTTGTGGCTTATTTTAGAAAAAAAAACTCCTATAAACATATGCTTTAAATTACTTCGTTTTTAAAATACAGGGTGTCAAAATTAATTGTAAAAAAAATAATTTCGAAAGAAACCGTTTAAAGATATTTTAATCAAATTTGGTATGCGTACATGTATTAAGAACCATTTTTCAGTAGTCCAGTACCGATATTGACTAGTATTGATACACATGATTGTATTTACAATTTTTAATTTCAATTTTTTACCTAATTTCAAAAGCGACGCATTGTTTTAAAAAACACTGGAGGCAGTTTTTGTAGAGTTTTAATTCAGGAATTTTAAAAAATTGTTAAACTTGGAATAGAACAGTGGCGTACCATTTTCTCATTAAAAAAACTTAATATATTTACACACGTTCCTGATGATGGATCTGAAAAAGTTTTATCGATACTGAAAGATGGTTCTTAATACCGTATGTATACGCATACTAAATTTGAATAAAATATCGTTAAACGTTTTCCAGATTTTCGAAATTTTAATATTTTTTTCACAACTTGAAAGCCTGTATTTTGAAAACGAATCAGTTTAGGGGGCATACGACTAAGTTTACACGTTACTAATTGGGTTTAGTAATATCTGCAGTTATAACTACCGACATAAGATATCGTAATAAATGTTAGTTAAATTCAATTTTATAACACTAGTTGTTATTACTCTACACCCGTTGACGAGGAGATAAAAACTTATAAATCCGGTTTTTAAAAAATGTGTAAACACTAAGCGAGTTTTTACAATTGCATTGCCAACTTAAGATAAAATTATAAAATTATTTCTTTGACAAGATCAAGATTTCAAGATTTCTTTGAATAAGGATAAAATAACATCTCTTCATGTAAACGAGCATGCGATTAAGGAGTTACAACTACAGATATTATTAAATTTAGGTTTTTTTTATTTATATTATTAATTTAGGTTTTTTTTAGATATTATTTATTATAGGCGTTTTACAACGCCTTGTATATAATGTATAAATAATGTATTGTTCTAAAGTTATTTAACGTTACCCTTAATGCACGAAAAATTAATAAAAATTCAATTTTTTGCAGAGATTAGACAGAAATTGACTCAATAAATTAAAACATGTAAAAAAATGGCGATCGATCTTATATACTATATTTATCTTATATTTAACGTACTATATACGTACAATATGTATATAATTTTAGATTCTTCTTTCTCGTGACATATACAGCATACCAATATTTTTATATAATTAAGATGTTTCATATACTAATTTTTTACATGTATTATATAGTATTATCTTTTCTCAATTGTAACTCTCAATAACGAATATCCTATATTTAAAGAATTTGTAATAAATTACTTAGAAATTATATTAAGATTGATATAAACTCATAAAAAAGATTTTTCGGACAAAATATCTCGATGACAAGTCGGCTATTAGTTTTCAAAAGTATTTATTCGTAAAATATCATAAAATAATAAAATTATTATGTAAATAAATTATGTATTTTAAATTTTTACTTTACTTCCAAAGAAATATTCTTATTTTGAGAGCCGAAACATGTCACTACTTCAATATGAAAACAAATGAATTATATTACACAGCTTAAAATTTACTTTTATTCCTTAAAAGGCTAATAATATACTGATTTTTCTTAAAAAGATAATGTGATTTATGAAATATCTAATCTATAATACTTTTAATACCATACAATATCAGCAGCGATTAAAAAACCACATTTTTCAAGATTATCTGTTTGTATGTGTGCGTATGTGCATGCGTGCGCGTGTGTGTTGATATACATATACATATATTGACATTTTATTCGTCAAAGAATATCTTTGTCATTGCGTGTTATCTTATAGTGACGCCGTTTATAAATACGTTCTATTTTATCGATACATTATATGAACTCATTCATATGGAATAAAACAGCAGTTAAATTCTCAAATTCACACTCATTAATAAAGTTACTAATTGTTTAGAAATTTTACCGATAAATGTATTGATTATTGTATAATATAATAGCCATAATATAATCACCAACAGCATGTGCAATGTGCATTATAACAAAAATACATCTAATATTTTTAATTAACAACTTAATTAACAATTTTCAATTAACAACGTGTTAATATAAATTTATTTTTTCTATGCTTCTAAACAAGATCGCATATCGCAATGTTAAAGTTTTCTTTATAGTTACATAAAAAACAAATTTATCACTGAGCGCAGTATGTCGCTCTATACGTGAAAGCGGTAAAATGGTTATTACATTTTGCAAAATCATGATAACCTGATTTACGCAAATTATAAGTGCGCGAGAGTAGCTAAGTCACGAATTCTTCGATAGATTACTCTGATCGATTTCGCCATTCGTCGGATGTTATATAGCCGAGAGTAACGAATATCAAGAATCGCCAGTCTGAGAAAGTTGAAATTTTCCAGGTAGCAGAGTGACGTCAAATGACTCTCTAGACGTCAATTAGACGTCATTAAAACATCTTTAGACGTTATTCTGCTACCTGGGTTGTATGTACAATCAGTTTAAAAGTTATAAAAATTCGTACGAGATCAAGAGGAAATAAAGTAAGTATTATAATAGAGTCGCGTTATCAAATTTTAAATGCACTTCTCGAATATTCGTTCTGCTGAGCCTAATAAATTTCTATAGGACATCTCGCGAGATTAGCGACAGTATTTGCGTTTGACAAATAAAACATTCATGACTTTCAACACGCTACAACACGAATCAAATTGATTGCAATATAGAAAGAGACTTTACTTAAAAAATTGTTCCATACTTTCGACAGTTTTATTAGACATTCAGGGTTTTTTTAAATAAATAAGAAAGAGATATAATATTTTTACTTTCCCCATAATTCGACAATAGGCAGTGTTTTCTTCTTCTTAAAAGATAATTATTAAATCAGTTACGCCGCATTTTGAAATATTACCTGTTTTGATTATCTATCAAAGTAAAAGTTAAAACTTGAATAATAAATGTAAAAACATTAGCAAGTGTACTTTATATCCAAAACAGTAATATTTTTATTTAAATGTGGTTTTATTTACTCATTTTGACATCACAATATTGCTTTAGATTATTTAGAACTTTTTGATAAAAAGCGAATACAAAAGAGTATTTTACTTTGAAATATTCCATATACACACCAAAATCAATAAAATCAATAATTATATTTCTGATTGTGAGAAACCTAGCTATGTCATACATATAGAAACAATGATAATCGTCTTTCATGAATTTATGACGCAATATTAGATATCGCGATATATTTGATAAAACAGAAAGAGAGAGAGAGAGAGGGAGAGAGAGATAGAGGGAGAGAGAAAGAAAGAGGGAGAGAATTTTACTATTAAAATTGCTTATAACAAAGCAATTGCTTATAATCCATTTTATGATAATATATCAATTATAAAATAAATATTAATTGAATAATTTTATATATATTTAACACATTCACTGCCATGACGATATTAACGTAAACATTAACGATATCATTATACATATGCTTTGCGCCTCTTTCCTATGATATATTATATCTGCGCAAAGCACATAATGATACTTTTAACGTTTACAGAATAGGCCCCTGAGTCTTTTACAGTATCATTATCTTATATTTAAGCATTGCAAGCTTTGTGTATATCTTTTTGATCAGCAACTTATCAAAATTTTCTAGACTTTAAAACAACCGTCATATTTTTTCTTTTAGTTACTAATATTATTGATGAAAAGTAGATATGACAGCTTCGCGAAAACATTCGGTATTAATTCTTAGATATTCTGTATGTACATACATCCCTAATTATAAGTGTACTCTTTGTACTGTTATACAACTTGCGCACGCGCACGCGCACGCACACGCGCACGCACACGCGCGCGCTCACGCACACGCACACGCGCACGCACACGCGCGCGCTTACGCACACGCGCACGCACACGCACACGCGCACGCACACGCACACGCACACGCACACACACAGAGAGAGAGAGAGAGAGAGAGAGAGAGAGAGAGAGAGAGAAATCGTTATTTATTAAACGCTCTGGGACAATGTCCCCTCGAGTGTGATAGAACTGATACAGAAAAAATAGCGGTGCATACAATTTGTTAGAGATAAGGTAAATGTCCCTATGGCCGACACCTATAAGGCCGACCCAACAAAAGAATGGCGTTGTCAAGCGTGACAAAAATAAATTCGATAAAGAGTTTCATACTGGTGGATAGCTTCATCCATGCACTTTCCAAAAATCGTAGGCTCAATCCATTCCGTCAAGTATTTTTCTAGATAGAGAAGAATAAAGGCGCACTAGTGCGTGCCCTCTCTACCGACCAGCTGTGTCCAATTTTGACCGGGCATGTCCCCATTACCGATTACCTTTTTTCAGAGCATGCGAGGCGGAGGTTTCAACCGAAAAGTAAACATAAAAATAAACATAAATCAATGATAAACATGATAAATACACATAAGTCATGAAAAGGTATTTTTATCAAGCCAAACCTGGACGACGACGACGACGACGATGGCGATGACGGTAACGACGGCGACTCTCCGCGCTTGGCAGCGTACGAGTCGCTGCTGAGCTGATAATTGCTCGCGCGTCGCCTGTCCATCCTGAACGAAGGGAAACGCTCGCGGTAACAACGGCTCGCACTGTGCCAGAGCTTACGCACGTAACCGGTACCGTGGACGTGGACGACACGGAGGGCCGCGCCGAGCTCGTGAATCGCCTCCCGCAGGTAACCGAGAACGTGATACGCGTGCGGCGACAGCAGACTGTCGTTGACGAGCAGGCGTTGTATATCAGCACGCACCCACACGTCACACTCAACACCACGGCGCCGCGACTACCGAGATCCCACATAGTACTGCCTCTAAGCGGATAACCTCACCGCAGCCGTCGGCTTCCGCAGCTTCGATGATACTGACGTTTACGTGTATGGTACTGAGGACATGCAGGCGTTTTGCTGTGTCTGACCTCGACCATCGAATAAATAAAAAAAATGACAGTTTTTGACTAATTTTTTTTTTCGAATATGGCAATCAAATTGTAACAAACCATTTAGCGCTCGGATTATTCCTTACAAAAGGATTTTGAACGAAATACGGACTATTTAGGCGACCGACAATTCCTAACCTCACTCTTAAGAATACGCGTGGATGGTGACGTGCGGCAAGAAATGCGAAAAAAAATATATTTAACTATTGTACTTACTCTGCACGTTATAATTATTTTGTACTGCACGAATTCCTGAATTTTTCCACTGCACTAATGAACGTGTTGTTGAATCAGCAGCCTCGTAAACAACGTTTCACGTCAAAAAAGTCGGTAGAGGGAACATGGTCGGCCATGGGGACATTTACCTTATCATAAAATACGAAAAAGAAACAATTGCATACAATAGTTATACAACGTAATAAGATGTCAGTCATTGTTACAGAGCAGATAGTCATAAAGTTTTCGCTTAAAAGTGCCAAGAGTGGGTGCATGACATATTTCGTTTGGGATGCGATTCCAGAACTCAGCAGCAGTGCATATGAAAGAGCGTCTATAAAATTCTGTACGACATTGTGGTAGAATAAGAGCATCGGCCGAAACCCTTGTTTCACGTGTTGCTTTATCACATCTACGCTCGAATGTTAGAGGAGCATCGGAGATTTTGGGATGCAGGGATGAGTATGTGAGGCAGCCGACGAAGTAGATGCGCCTAGATTTGATTTTGAGCCATCAAAGCTTTACATAGAAGGGGGTGATATGCTCATCCCGTTTTATTTGAAAGATGAACCGAACACAAGCGTTCAGGGACCTCCGTAAGCGAAAGTTCTGCTCCCGGTGATGTCTATGAGTGCGGTGCAACAATAGTCAAACATTGGTAGTATCAAGGTGGTAATTAGCCGTGATCTCAGAGAAAGCGGTAACAGATGTTTGCACAGCTTTAGCTGGTGTAACGTTGCAAAAGCTTTGGTTGACGTTTTTGTGACTTGTGTGTCCCAAAAGAGTGTATTCGAAAGACGCCTAGGTACTGTACCGAGTCGCAGAAAGAAATGACTGAGTCGTTAATAGAATCCTAGGCAGTTCATCCCAGGTTAATCCACTAATAAATCTGGAGGTACCCATGACCATGGCCTTTGTCTTATTTGGATTCAGTGATAGCTTGTTTGTAGTAGCCCAATGAGTGATTCTGGTGATGTCTTCGTTGATTCTAAGAATGGTCTGAACTGCTTAAGTTGAGCTTAAGTTCCGTGTGTAGATAAATTACTAGATCATCCGCGTAGAAATGGTATTTACAGTACTTGAGGACAGTGCTGAAGTTTAACAGGTAAAGGACGAATAAGAGAGGTCCCAAAACAGAGCCCTGTGGCACCCCGGAGAAAGTTGGACGCTCTGACGAGATTTCCCTCGTAACAGGATCGCGCACGGTCTGTTTTCTGTTGTCAAGGTAGGAGCACAACCATCTTAAGAAGAAGCCAAGGTCTCAAGATGTAATGATTGACGTAATCAAAGGCTTTAGTGAAGTCAAAAAAGACAGCGATAGTCATCATCCTTTTGTCAGCGGCCTGTCTAACGTCATCGAGAACGCGAATAAGTGCAGTCTGAGTTGAATGTCCCCTTCTGTAGGCAGATTGATACGGATCCAAACTGTCAGTATTTTCCAGATAACGTGTGATTTGCTCTGCCGCGATACGTTCTAACGCTTTAGAGACCGCGCACAAGATCGAGATTGGCCTGTAATCCCGCATTTCAGATGGGCATTTGACCTTAGGAATAGGGTAGATAATAGCAGTTTTCCAGATACCGGGGTAAACACCGTAGGTCAAGCTAAAATTACAAATGTGAGTCAAAACAGGAAGAATTCTTGACAGAACCCGGATGATGAGTTTACAAGATAAGCCATCAACTCCTACCGCATCCGATTTAATTCGTTGCAGAGCTTTAGTCACCTCTCACTGTTCGATGTTACTCCAGTAGAATTTTGAGTCTTCGTAGATTTCGTTGCCAAAGTAAACAGGGTGCTAAAAGTGCTGTCTATCTGCGTCTGCCGTAACACTGGAAAAGAATTCATTAAGTTCGTCTGAGGTGAAGATGAGATTCTTATCAGCGTTCTTCGCTTTAAAAAATCCAAGATGTCTAAGTTGTCTCCAAATTGTAGTGCGGTAGCCCCTCCTCCGCTTACGTGTGTACTGTTTATACACACACAATTGAAGTATTATTTAAAAATTCATATTAACTTTCCACGCATGAAAAGTTCACGCATACACTTTTCACGCGCAAACCGAGGTTAACCCCCACCGCCCCCTGCTTTCGGGAGAGGTGCGGTAGCCCCTCCCTCGCTTACGTGTGTACTGTTTCTCTCTCTCTCTCTCTCTCTCTCTCTCTCTCTCTCTCTCTCTCTCTCTCTCTCTCTCTTTTTCTCTCTCTCTCTCTCTCTCTCTCTCTCTCTCTCTCTCTCTCTCTCTTTTTCTCACTGCTAATTCTGTGTATACTTTATACTATGTGATAAATTATATAAATTGATATCGTGAAAACTATGCATCGTAGTTTATAACGTTTCTGATTTTCTGAAGTTTCGCCAATGATGTTTATGTTATGACTTTAACGGGTATGACTTTATGGTTGTTTACATTATAATACTTGAGAGCTGTTTTGGTTTGTTTCGCGTGGAAAATGTATACGCGGAGGCAGCAAGTTAAAAATGTTAAAAAAATTGCTAAACTTTGGAGTTTAGCAAAAAATCGCAAAAAATCCTTTTGGTATATGTGTTTTTTATCTAAAAAGAATCTATTTACAAAGTTTCACCTAAATCTGAGCATGGACGTTTTCAGAAATTTAGACAAAATATTTTTTATTTAAATTCTAAAAAAACTGTCATATTGTCCATTAAAAATTTTTTTGATATTTTTTTTTGAAAAGTAGGAGAGACCGGGGCTAAAACGTCTACGGGGTAAATCCGTCAAATCAAATATCTCGGAACCTGTATATTGTGCGAATTCGCTATTAACATTGTAAACGCTGCTTATGGTACCCATATGCGTGCACGGTCAACTCCCATATGAAAATTCAGGCCGCATTAGTTCATTCTGGTATATTGTCTCAGGTGGCGTTTACATCATTTTAACGGCTAAACCGTGTACATACGTACACGTGGTATCTACTGTAAAAAGTGAGCTTATTAATTATAGAGAAAAGCGATCGAAAGGAAATAAACTAAATCGTGTGTGGAGCGTGTGAAGAATATTATCTGATAAGGTAAGTTGTATATGAACAATATAAAAATATAAATATCGCAGCAATCGATAATAAAAGATTATGATTGCTTTATTTAGTTGTATGCTTCTATATATATTGATCTGGTATTTTAATGTTGTTTTGCATAAAAGTTTGTGAACAGAATTTTTGCTAATTATGTTCGCGTGTATGCCTAATAAGATGAGATAATAAAGACATATTTTTAAGTTTCTTATACTTTTGCAGTTTTCAACTTTAATCATGGTAAAAGTAGAGTAGCTTTGCATTGTACCAGGCTGTAAATCGAACTCAAAGGCTCCTGGCCACTTTTTTCCAAAAAATCTTACATTATCACAAAAGTGGAAAGAAATTGTAAACAATAGTATTATTTACAATGCTTCATCAGATGATTTAAGAAAATATAGAGTATGCCACTTGCATTTTTTGCCTGAAGATTATATTTACTCTGTCAATCGTCGAATACTGAAACATAATGCAGTACCTAGTTTAAATATATGTAATGCACAGATAGTTAATACAGAGGTAAATGATATAAATACTACTGAGCAACATTCACGATCTGAAACAAGTATAACTGAGATACATTTAGAATTTGAAGCAAATGCAAGTGACAATGAGTTACATTTACAATCTCAAACCAGTCATGAGTGTAATGAAACTTCTACAAGTACAACTGAGCTGCATTTAGAATCTGAAGCAAATACAACTGACATTGAGTTACATTTACAATCTCAAACCAGTCATGAGTGTAATGAAACTTTTACAAGTAATTTTATATGTGCAGAAACAAGTGCGTTACAAAACGATTAAAATAATATTGCAGATAAAGAAGTTAATTGTCCCAGTACTCCCAGTACACCAAGTACCTCAAGAAATATACTTGGTTCTGTTACAAGACAATGCCATTTAACACCAAGAGCACAAAAAATATATAAGAAAACTGTAACATTAGCGAAGAAAAAAAACCGAATGAAAATACAAATAATAGATTATAAAACACGCCTGAAAGATGCAAAGAAGTTTTCAAATACACAATTTTACAAAAAGTTTAATAGTTTAACTCCAACACAAAGATTGTTCTTTGATATGCAATTACAAAACACAAAGTATGCTCCAAAAGTAGATTTCAAAATATTTAATGAATTAAAATCTATATTAAAATCAACCTGCCCAGAACGAAGTTCACAATATTTGAACAATATATTTTTTGAATTATAATCATGCAATTGTATAAATTTGTAAATCTTTGTTATTTGTAAAAGACATAGTTCGCGCAGGTTTTTTAATTTTGTACAGTTTTTTGAGCAGATACAATTATCATTGCAAAAATTTTATATTAGAAAAATTGTAAAAACTAAATCTATTTTGTTATTATTTGTGTATATAGAGAAGGAGATTTACGTTGGAAGAAAAAATTTTAGCACTATCATTGTATAAGCAATCCGGGGCTTGTTACAAATTATTATCAAAATTATTTGTTTTACCGAGTGCTACAACTCTGAAATATTTGCAATGTGAATAGGAGAGGCAATTAGAGCCAAGCGCGGTAATCAAAGCGCAAACAATTTGTAAAAATAAATATATATATATTAACGTACGTTTCGACACATTATTCGTGTCCTCTTCAGCGTTAAAAGTTACATATACGAAGATTAACAAAGATAATAAAAAGAAGTCGAGTATAAGGCGTAGTCAATAGACGAACAAAGCATAAAAGACGCAGTCAAAATTAAAAAAAAACAAGGATTGAAATCCTATGGATGTACCGTTGTCGAAATTCCAGATACGCCGGTAAACGCTCGCTCCGCATCCCTCGCATCTTAGAAATAATCTCGCCAGGTTGAAAGACCAGGTGGGTAAGAAAGATTCGAAAGCCCTACCTGTACCATCAAACGGAGTCGCAATGTGGTAGAGGCGTAAATTATTTATGTTAAAATCCGATGACTAATAGATTTACTTACAGAGCAATTGCAGACCGGAATATCGCATTGTAACAACAAACTTCACGGTTCGAAACATCGCGAATGAGTGAGGCATAGGTGGGAAGGTTAATATAATAGAGACTGGTGTATAAACCAGAGGAGGGGATAAACTCTCGCATAAAGTTATTCTAAATTTTAGACAGTCTCTCGATTACATTTAAATACGCGTCCGGTAAACTCTCCGCATCGGTCTGTAAATTCAAACCGTTCGCCTGCCTTTTTATGCATATCATCTCCGAAATCAAACGTTTATAACCATAGGATTCATTATCTAAGATTTCAACGCTATTCCAATCGAAATCATGATTCCATTCTAATCTGTGTTCAGTTATGACAGAATGATTTGGAGTACTCCAATTAATATGATTACGATGCTCCTTGATTCTTGTTTGCAATTGCCTACCCGTTTGGCCCACATAAGAAGCGTCGCAATCATTACAATTCACCTTATAAACCACGTTACATTTATTCGACCGTGGGAGGCTATCCTTGTGCGCCTTGATGAATGTACGCATTTTATTTAAGCTGTTATAAGACAGTCTCACATTCAAATCCCTTGTGGCGTTCCTAAGCTTTTCAGTAATCGTCGGGACGTACGGTAACGTGAAAAAAGGAGTAACTTCCTCTTTATTCTGTCTCACATTCGTATTCGAGTCTCTATTAAACAGAAACTTAAGACGTTCGCGCAAAATTCTAAAGATGAATTCCAATGGGTAACAATTATTGAGTAAGATTTCAATGACCAGTCTGAGATTTTTAGCATGCAAGGACGGATGTGACAACAAAAATGCCCTATCTATTAGGCCTACGGCCGTACCTCTTTTTTGGCATGCAGGATGCTGCGACAAAAAGTTTAAATATCTGCCAGAAAATGTCGGTTTATGGAACCAATCAAAAGTTAGCCTATTGTTGTTCAATATCATTGTAATCTCCAAAAAATTTAACGTGTCGTCTTCACCGATTTCTATGGTAAATTTCAGCCTAGGATGGAAAGAGTTAAAAACATCTAAGGTATGCTGTAAAAGAGCCGACGGTGCAGCAAGTGTTATGTCGTCAATGTACCTTTTATAAAACGGTGGGATATATTTCAAGGTAGCGAGAGCTATAGTCTCCAAGTCTTGCAACACTATATCCGCCGCCATGGGGGAAAGAGGAGAACCCGTGGGGACGCCGAAAGTTTGTCGATAGATTTTCCCATTAAATATAAAAAAAGTGGAATTTAATACTAGCCTGACAATAATAAAAAACTCCGCTTTAAAGATTTTGCAATTTTTGGAAATAAAATTCCACCTGACTGTTATACTGTCCAATACCCTTTCAATGGGAACATTCGTAAACAAGGAAACGACATCCAATGAAATTAATTTGTAGCCGTCATTTACATGTGCGTTCCCAAGTTCTTCCACTAAATCTATGCTATTCTTTACAAAGCTGCGGGCTTTCGGAAAGCTTTGGAACATTATACGGTGGAGGAAGGAGGCCAGATCATATAAAGGGCTATTTATAGAAAATATAATAAGTCTAAAGGGGCAGTTCGGTTTATGGATTTTTGGAAGTCCATATGCCCTCGGCAAAACCCCGTCGCTACAATAAAGAGATTTGTAAGTTGACCCTGTGATATAATTAGCGTTCTTTCATCTAGTTAGTAATTCTCTTGAGCTTGAGATGAGTTTTTTGGTGGGATCCGTCGTGATGGATATGTAGGTGTCTCTATCATTTAACATTGTTTCAATCGCGGAGATGTATTTGTCTTTGTCGAGCGCGACTGTTACGTTCCCTTTGTCAGCCCTTGTGAGAATTAAATTCGTGTTGTTGTTGAGGAATTTTTTAGTTGCGGACAGTAATTTAAGGATATTGTTGTTAAAGTTGTTTCTGGGAATTGAATAATTCGGAATATTGTTAATGATAGGTGCCACTCGATTCCTCAATGCGGCCTGAAATATTTCTTCTGAAATATTTGTTACGAACTATTTCTCTACAACCAGGAATTAATTAATTTATTTTTGAGCATCTTCGGCAGCATATTGCACGAATAAATGATGAAAGAGATAAATTATGTGTACTAATGTGAGACGAGATGTCATTAAAAACCAATTT